CACAAGGTGTACAGCAGCGTGGATTGGATACTGTAATTTGTGCAAAAAATAAGAAAAGAAAAAAATACACTTACACACACATATATACATACACACCCACACAAAACACACTGTCAGGGAACAGTGTGTTTGGCAACCTGGTTCCCCTCTGGGAAAAGAAGGAGGTAGCTGGGGGCCGGGGGTGGAAAGAAAACTATTCACCATTTGAATGGAACCTTTGAATTTTGAACTGTAGGCCAGTATTATCTATTCAGAAATCAATTAAATAAATATTTTGAAAATTAAAGTAGCTAAAAGTGAGGTTTGCTATTTTAACCACATGATGGCATGGAACGGAGCGATGCTCCCAGTACCTACCAGAATGTTCAGTTGATTTCCCAGCATGCACTGGGCAATGGGAAATCCTAGAAGGCCAAAGTTGACAAGGCCTTTGGAGACTCATTGCCCCATTTTACCAGTGGGGAAACTGGCCCAGGGTCACACAGGACGGGTGTGGCAGAGCTGGGGTGGGAAGGGAGTCCTGACTTGAAGTCCTGATTCCTTCCCCAGCCAGCTGGGTTCGCTGCTCCAGAAAAGCCCCGTAAACTCTCGTGAAAGTTTTTGGTCAGATACGCAGCCGTCAGGATGTGGAGAAGGCCCCGCAGACAAGAGGCCCCCATTTCATATTTGATATAGTGTAAACTCTGAATCTCCCATGCAGGGACATTTGCAAACAACCAGGGGAACCCTAAAGATAATTATCCAAACCAAGACACTTTTGGAGTGAAAAAGGGTGCTATTAATAATCATGCCCAGACGACAAGCACAAACGAGACTTCCTGGAAAACCAAGAGTAGCCCCCTACAAAAATCCCCATCCTCAGGAAGCTGGCAAGAAGACGTTTCGGACAAGAGGCCTTCAATGGAACACGGTCTGATTTGAGTACTTCATCCCCCACCCCCATCCCCCACTACTCCCTCCCCACAAATCCTGACAATAATATAGGCTTTGGGTAAATCTAGGTTCAAATCCCGGCTGTGTCCAAACCACCTGACTTCCCTAGGCCTCCACTTCTTCATCTGTAGAGCAGAAATTGTGAGCCCATCTGGAGGTACGCTGCGAGAATGAAATGCTCATGCGGAGCCAGGCACGGAGAAGATGCCTGGGAAGACCTGGTCCCTTCCGCTAATGCAGAGAAATAATGAAACGACACAGGCTTCATCCTGAAACTCTTGGGGCTGAGCAGAGAGCGCCCTTCTCCCAGACCCGATTCACAGATGCCACCGTGGGAGGAAGTGTCAGGCACCCTGCCCAGGGAGACGTTGATTCTAATTCTGGGAGTCATTTTGCAAAGCACCTCTTCACGGTGACTCATTCGGGGACTCGCTGAAAAATCCTTTGAGTTAAAAACAAAAGTTGAGTGGGGCTCAGGTTGCACAGTACCTTTTCCCTCCATCCCCTTCCCTGGCCAGGCTGGCAGGGGGAGTCAGGGAATTTAGAGGGTCTCTGGGCAGAATTTAACCTGATTTTTCCCCCAGCGTGTCACGGGGGGCTGGGACCAGGTCAGAGGGAAGGAAGTAGGGGGTGCACAGGAGGAAGGCCAGGAAAATGGGGGTGGCAATGACTTCTCCCATCCCCCCTCCCAAAGTCCTGCTACTGCACCCTCCTGTCTCTAGAGTCCTACAGCAAATGTCCCATCCCCTCCCATTCCTGAATTATAGTCCAGGAGCGAGGGAAGGGAGTGGACAGGACTTCTTCATTCCCCTAGCACTCAGCAGCAGCCATCAGCTGGCCTGCAGCCAGACTCATCTCTGCTAATTGTGGCTGGCTGTGTGACCTGGGGCACATTGCTTGACGTTTCTGAGCCTCAGTTTCCTAACTGGAAAATGAGGACATTAAGAGTACCTGTGACAGGGGCTCTGTGAGGCTAGGAAGGGGCTTTGCAAATGGTTAGTTTTAAACAGATGCATGCCGGGGCTCCAGTGCATCTCTTCCCAGGGGTCTGGTGTTGCTCCCAGAGTTCTCTTCAAAGGGGAATTTCAGGTTCTTGCTCTGCAGTGTACCAGGACATGTATGGGAGCATGGGGCCTGTCCTAGGCACTTCCCCTACTCCCTCATACAGGCCTCTGCTCAAATGTCACTTCATCAGAGAGGCTTCTCCCAGCACCCTCTATGAAAAAGCCCCCCTGGGCTCGCTTCCCCCTTCTCTGCTTTATTTTCTCCACCAAACTTCCTATCCTCACCACGCCAGGTAATTTTCTTCCTCCCAACCCCCACCCTCAGTTGGAAGCCCCAAGAGAGTCAGGGCTGTATTTTATCTGTGAGCATATCCCGGTGCCCAGAATAGTACCTGGCCTGTAGCAGGTGCCCCTAGATATGTGGCGGGTGAACGAATGAACGAACGAATGCTTGCTGCACGAAAATAGCCAATATCGCTGATCCCCTAGTAACACTGCAACACACTGTCTCAGAATTACTATGTCTTTCTATTATTTTTTGCAACGTTCATCTCTTATCTTTGATTCTCCAATCTATCTGACATTTATTGCGAGGTATATCACGTGAGGTGAGGTTGTAAACAGATCCCCAACTTAAACAGCTAGCCAGTTTGCAGAATGATCCATTTTGTCCCTGCTGGTTTATGGAAGGGCTGGGACTGAGCTGGCTCTTCTGGACAGCCTGCTGCCCCGTCTGCCCCTTCTTGTGCCAGCAGCCCAGAGCTGGGCTGGTCAGGAGGCGGGACTGCCTAGATTAGGCACACAGGTGCTGGAATTAGACAATCTGTGGTCCAGCTTCTAGCTCAACCACTTACCAGCTGGGGGACTTTGGGCAAGAGAATTTGCTTCCCTAAGCTTCAGTTCTAAGCCTCATTTACCGCATCTGTAAAATGGGCACGAAAGTAGCATAATGACTCCTTCCTAGAGTAGCTGAGACTGAATACCACAAGGCAGGCAGAGCATGCAGCCGCGAGTCTGGCGCGCAGTGGGTGCTGAGCTGGTGTCATTACTGTTATAGCTCACAGCCAGCGAAAGGACCTTCACTCACTGGGCAGACGAGGCCCCCTGGGCATCCCCCTGTGCCCAGCACAGCGCTGTGATCAAGCTGGGCAGCTGGCAGGCAGGCAGCGTCAGTCTCTGGTTCCGCCAGTTTTGCATGTGGCGGAGAAGCAGCAAGTGTGAAAACAGGAACTGTCCGAGCCAGGAGAGTCTCCTTTTGGGGAGGGGGGTCCCCCTAGGAACTGAGCTGCTGCCCTTGGGCCCCCATGGAGACTGTCTCCTTAGGGCCTGATAAGCATTCATTAGTGGAGTCTTACTTCTTCCAGAAAACTCTGCACGTTCACTTGCATTCTTGGGGTCCACAGGAAGTGGCGAGCGCCAGATGAGGAGACGTTGGCGCTTTGAGGACGGGGAGCAAAGCCTTCAGCACATCGAGGTTACGTTCGGAGCCTACTTCAGCGCCCGCATTCAGCAGGCACAAAATAAGCGCTTGTTGGTTGGCCGATTTCAGTATCCCCGGGGCTGTGATGGGAGCAGAGTTAGGTGATGGGTACTCAAAAGTGCGTGGGAGGGGCCCCCGGGGCTGGCCCATTGCAGACCCTGATCCTACACTTCCGGAGCCCAAGAAAACGGGGAGATGCTGGGCCTGACTCACTGTGTGAGCTTGGGCCTCAGTTTCCCCATCTTTGAAATGGGGAGGGGGGCCTGGGCTGAGGGGAGCACTAGCTGTCCGAAAGGCCTGGGGCAGTGGGGGGATCCGGGCCCGGGGAGGGCGCCGCCGGGGCGCCCCCCAGCCTGCGTGGCGGCAGCGCGCACGAGCGCAGGGGGCGGCGCGGCCCCGCGGCGGGGAGGGGCGGGAGCGCGCGCGCGCGCCCGCGCAGGCGGCGGCGGCGGAACCGAGCGGACGAGCGTGCGGACGCCGCGCCGCCAACTCGTGTGGGACCCGCCGCTCCGCCAGCCGCCCGCCCGCCGGCCGCAGCCGAGCCCGCCCGCGCACCGGTGAGTGCCTGGGGCCGGGACCCGCCGATCGGGCCGGCGCGGGCCGGGGAAGGGGCGGGGGCCGGGCCGCGGGGCCGTCACCCGCAGCAGGGCCCAGGGGGGCGCGTGCCCGCGCGCGCACCCGAGGCTCTGCGGGGGAGCGCGGGCGGGTGTGCACGCGTGAGGTCGGGGCGCGTGTGAACGTGCGAGTCTGAGGGTGTCCGCGGCCGTGCGTCCGAGCGTGCGTGGGCGGCGTGTCCTTCTGTCCCCGGGGCCGTGTTCGCAAGAGTGTGTGCGTGTGCACGGCGGCGTGTCGGGGTTGTGCTGTTTGGTGTGAATGAGTGTGGGGGAGTGGGCAGGGCTCCCACTTATCCATTTACTGAGTGTTTACTCTGTGCCGAGGAGCGTGCCAGGCGCTTCCCGTGTGTTCTGGTTTTTGTGACTCTGTGTGGATTCAGGGAGTATGTGCGTGCACACACGTGCGTGAGTGTTCCCAAGTGATTTGTGTGCACGTTTGTGAGCCTGTGAGGACAAAACTGTGCCTATGTGGATGTGAGCATGGAATTTGTGTCCAGGAGTGTGTGTGTGTGTTTATTATGGAGGCTGAGGACCCCCTTTGTGCCCACCGGGCCTGTTACCTGATGTGCCCACTCCTGGCCCCCATGCCAGGAGCCCATGGAAAGACGCAGGCCTGGGGTGGGCACCCAGTGGTTGCCAGGCCTTGTTTGGTGAATGAAGAGCCAGAGGTCAGAGCTGCAGAGCCCGGCTGGGCCTGGCAGGGGGCGTGGCCTCGGAGCCAGGCCTTGGCGGGGCCACTGGCAGGACCCTCCGTGGGGCTCCAGAGCGTGCAGACTGGGTGGGGGGCTGTGGTGGCACTGGCACTGGAGGACTAGTGTTCAGCTTCCTGCATACCCTCTGGGTTCCCTGGCTTTGTTCTTGCCCCTCTGTGGCCCTGGTTCCCTGCGGGGCTGACCCTGGGGAGACCAGAGTCCAGGGTCACTTGTCTGTGGATCTGGGGATCTCTCTCTGCCTGCCTTCCTAAGTAGATAGATACTCATCTGATTTATTTGTATCCAGCCTGGGCTTGAAGTGAGAGCCCCAAGACAATAATCGATTGATCACAGGAGACTTGGGACAGTGTCTTCCAAGGTCTGTCCTTCCAGGTTTGACAGACAGGTTTTTTGGGGGACTTTGTGGATGTTGAAAATCTCTACAGTCGAAAGCCTTCATTGCTTTCGGGCAAACTTTAGAAAGTCTGGAGCTCCCTGGTTCTCTGAATGGTCAGAATTCAGCTTGCCTTTCCGAGGGGAAAATGTCGTCTTAGGAGTTCGGTGTCTGCGCAGGCGACCTCAGAGGCGCATTTAAAAACCCGTGGCGTTAATGGAAGAAGAATTTCATTGAAAGGGATGCAGAGCCGGCTGGAAGCGCCTGTTCCCAACGCAGCAGCTTAGCGACTGAACTTTGGACATCTTCTCTTAGCAAACAAAACCTGGAAGGAAACAAAAAAGACCCACATTCTTTTTCTTTTTTGTCCTAAAAAAATGAAAAAAACCCATACCTTTGGATTTGCTGGAAACGCTGCCTCCCCTCCCCCCACCAAGGCCAGGCCCTCCCTCAACCCCCCACCCCCAAATAAAATACGCCTGTGGGGAGCTAGGGTGAGTCACTCCCTGGCAGGGAGCCCCACGGGCAAACGTTTGGGAAGGTTCTTGCCTAACTTCCCAGAAGGAAAGCCCAGGATTTAAAATGGTCCCTGTGGTTTGTCAGCCCCTGCCGTCCCGTCTGCTTCGGAAATGACTAAAAAGTAGTTTCTATCTTGACAAAATAAAGTCTCAGACTTCAGCGGCGGCCCAGGTTGGTCTGTGTGTCGGGCCCATTCAGGTTTCAGGAAGCAGAGCTCCTGGCTTTGCCAGGTGGCACTTCTGGTGGCTCTGAGCAAGGAGGGAGCAGGGAGAGGGCAAGAGAAGCCACATTTATGGGGCACCCACTGTCTGCGGACATAATGGCTGCAGGAAGGTCGCCCTGTGGAGAATGGCTTCTGGTTTTATATGCATAAGGAACTGAGGCCCAGAGAGGCCCTTCCTGGGACTGCTGGGACGTGGTGGAAGCAGAATCCTGTCACCTGCCTGACTTCCCGCCTGTCCTCTTTCCAGTGCACCAGGAGCATGACGTCTGAAGGTGCACAGACTGGGTGTTGAGTGCTGTAACATACATCCATATGTTTAATTTTCACTGGGAGGTAGAGGGTTCTTGTCTCCATTTTCCAGACGAGAAAACTGAGGCTCCGAGGGATGAAACGATGTGCATAGTTTTATGAAAGTGGCACTACAACTAATGGCCACCATTTATTGATGGTGTAACATGTGCCAGGCATATGCGGTTGACCCTGGATTTGAACCCAGGTTTGACTGAGCAGAGCCCATAGTCTTCCCACTGAACCTGGAAAGTGACAGTCACTGTGTACGTGCGTCCGGCCCAGGGCTAAGGTCCAGGGTTGTTATCCTGATCTTACAGAGAGGAAGATGAAGACTCAGGGAGGTTGAGTAACTCGGGCAGCGACATAAACTGGCAAATGGCAGAGTCAGGACCCAAGCCCACATCTCTGATTCCAGAGCTGAAGTGCTTAAGCTAAAACCAGGTCTGTCTGGCTTTGTCCTGCTTTTCTCCTCTCGCGTGCTGAAAAGACAAGTGGCTTAAGACACACCAGGTTCCCTTGGGGCTGGGATCCTTGCTGGGCTCCGGGCTTCGGGGAGATGTCTTCCTGAAGACTCTGCCCTCCCTCCTTGCCCACTCTTGGCCCTCGTCGCAGCTGACCAACGCCCGGGGCCAGAGCTGTCAGATAGGAAGGGCCCTAGTTCACATTTTTTCTTTCCTCTTGAAGTGCCAAAGATTGGTTTCAGAAGGGAAGTGTCAAAACAATTGTCAAAAAGAGAAGAATATTCCCTTCCTCTTCTTGGGCAGACCAAGTAAGGGAGTTCGAGAGTGGGGAGTGGAGGACCCTGGTGCCTCACTCGAGATTAAATACAGGTTGCCACCTCCAGGTTCGTGTGGGGAGGAAGCAACCTGAGACACTGCCCTCAGGAAGAGCCAGCGTCCTGACCCCTGAGGATGGAGAGTTACTTCCACTGGCCCCACTCTCAATTCTGGATATCTGACAAAGGATCCTTTCTGCGTCGGCTTCTTGTCACTTGCCATTTCAGTCCCATGCCTCTCTCTTCCTCGTTCATTTCCATTTATATCATGGTTTATACTACACCGTCCTTGGAAGGAATGCTGTGTGTGAGGACCTGTGCGGTTTGGGGGGTGTGGGGCCCTGCCAGTGTCCTTTAGGGTTGAGAGGAAAAGGTATTTCTCTTCCTTCCGAGTATGTTCCGCAAATTGATGAACATTTGCAAATTGCTTTGAGATGCGTTAATTTAAGGTGTGAAATAATAGATCTTGTGCGAAGTCTCAGCCACATTTCTGGCATTGATGGATTTCTCTCCCGTCTGGCCTGTGATTTGGGGAGGTAAAAATAGTCCTTGTTTCTACATTTTCATCTTTTTTTGCTGACATCATTCTTAGGAAGTAGTGGTACGCACATGCCACGGACCTTTCCTTGGCCATCACCTCAGATGGCAGCCAGAATACAGAGCTCTGGGGTGCAAGGGTGCTTCTGGAGTGGGGCATCATCTGGGGTGGTCTGGCACCCCCTAGGTGCTTGTGAAATTGCTTTAAGGGGCCGGTCCTGTGGCGCAGCAGTTAAGTGAGCACGTTCTGCTTCGGCAGCCTGGGGTTTGCCGGTTCGGATCCCGGGTGCGGACGTGGCACTGCTTGGCACGCCAGGCTGTGGTAGGAGTCCCACATATAAAGTAGAGGAAGATGGGCACGGATGTTAGCTCAGGGCCAGTCTTCCTCAGCAAAAAGAGGAGGATTGACAGCAGATGTTAGCTCAGGGCTAATCTTCCTCAAAAAAAAAAAAAGAAAAGAAAAAGAAATTGCTTTGAAATGAGTGGGTGGTAGATGCCAGGCTCAGCCAACGGCCCTCAGTGACTTTTTAGTATTTGACTATCTTCTCATTTCTGACTGTTGGATAGTGACAAGATGGCGTTTGGGGAAAATGTTAGTTTAAAAAGAAAAAGTCAGGCCAGCGGCTTCCCCCATTCCTGTCTGAGCTGGGTGGCATACACTCAGTCCCTACCTTTGGCCAAAACTGAGCCCAACGGCCTCCTCAGACTCGACTTCAGACGGGAGCTGACATTGGGGCAGATCCGTTGGTGGTGTCATTTCCTGTGACGTTCAGTTTGGGAACTTGAACTTGGAGTGTGGTCTAACATTTTGACATCTTTCCCTCTAACAAGACTTGCCTGTGTGGAAACAGACCCACATCCACAGCCTCTGCCGTTGTCTCCAGTTCTGGATTTTTCCACAGACGGCTTCTCCGGTGGTCTGGTGGCAAAGGCCCGGTCTCTTAGCCAGGCCTTCTTGGCCTCCAACCAGCAGGATCACCGCACCCCAAGCCCGACTGGCCTCTGTAGCTGGGCTCTGTCTGGGGGGCGAGCGAGGGGCCAACGGAATTGAAAGGCCGTGCAGCCGGGATCTGAAATACATTCAGCTCCAGCGGCCTTGATCCGCGTGGAGCCATTCTTTCTTTCTCTTAGACATCTGCGTGGTGGTGACCTCATAGAAAAGAAAAAGGGGCTTTATGTAGGAATTCCATAGAGTGTGCAGGAATTCCGACAAGGCGGGGGAGAGGGAGGCTCCACCGAGAGCCAGCACGCCCTGCGTTTCCCCCAGTTGTTTAATCCGCACACTTCAGAATTAGGCTGGGGGAGGGGGCCGGGCTTGTCCCTAGTGAACGGGGAGCCATTTAAGGAGAATTTCCCATGGTCCCAGAGCCGTTGCCCGTTCTCACTGCAGGTGAGCAGCAGAGCTGGAGTTTGTCCAGGACCCCTTTCCCCAAGGCCCGCCTCTCTTGTTCCTTGTTGTCCCCAGAGTCTTTGAAACAGGGGTTTATGGGGAAAAGACTTGCAAAGGAACGGAGTTACCTTCCAAACGACCTTCCGCTCTGATCAGTCCAAGCTGCCGATGATGAATCCAGGAGGCTCCTGATCCGGAGAAGAGCCACGCACCCATTTTACAAAAGGGAAACTGAGGCCTGAAGAGGAGAAGGCACTCGCCCACAATCACGTTCAGAACATGAGTTTTGGCACCAAATGGAGGGAGGTGGGAGCCCCAGGCCTGCCACTTGTGAGCAAGTTGTTCGCCTCTCGGAACCTCAGTCTCCTCATCTGGAAAACAGGGACGATGTTACGACCTCTTGTATAGAACTAAAGGACACAATGCATATAACACCCAGCACGTGGGGAGCACCTCGAAAGTGCTCAGTGGTTACTCCCTGAGATGTAAGGAGAGACGGAGAAACTATTTAGTTACGAAGGACCTGCCCTGGGACACACGGCCAGAAGGTTGTCCCTTTGTCAAGAGCGTTTCAGTGCCCCTGCGTATTGAGGCCCTGAACCAGGCTGAAAGGGGTGTCACAGAAGACTTTTCTATGATCGTGACCCTCCAAATGGAGGGGGCAATTTGGACATTGGCAGCCATTTGCAGCAATGTGGAAAGAGGCAGGATTTAAATGTCGGGGTGGCCCTGGGCATCTCAGGAAAGTGTTTAGAAATCAGTATTTTGTGTTCCTCTCCACCCACCCCCTGCAAGGCGAGGAAAGTGGGCCTTAGAAGATTTGGGTGCATCCTCTTGGAGTTGGAGGGTCTCGGTGGGGTCGGGGGGCCCGGGCCATGTCAGGTGCAGTGTGTTATTAAGCGAGGCAGATGCGTTGTTAATTATTTACACGCCCTTGGCCCCATCGCAGCTCTGTGCTGACAGAACGGCTGTTACAGACCTGGGCCCGGGAACAGGTAGATCTTGGTTGAAAGTGAGCAGCGGCCCTTTCCCCACTGGGTCCTCATGGAGGGTCCCCACAGCGGGGCCTGAGGAAGCCTGTGTGGGTTTGGCGTCCCTCCTAAGCCATTTGGGGTTCCCTTGGGCTGGTTTTCCCTGAGGGAGAGGAGAGATCCTTGTCCCCTGGATGTGGCCATCCCTCTGGAGGCGGTGGCTTCACACCTGCAACCCTGCCACGGAGTGTGTGATGAGGGGACAGCATCCTCGGCTCTGGAGATCTTGGACCCAGCGCCCCTACTCCCCAGCAGCTGCCTGGCGCGAGGGTGGCACGTGGGCCCAGCCTCCACTCCTTCATCTGCAAAATGGGCCGCAAACCCCAGGCTCCAGCTCCTTGATTCTTGGGCTCCATTTGGAGGGTGATTTGCCCTAGAAATCCAACTTTAGGATTAGAAATCTCAAAAGGAAGGGGCCTGGGATCAGACGCTTCCCTAAGAGGCCACTACGGATGAGGGACGTGAGCTCCTCATGGCATGCACCTACCCCCGTCCTCAGGCCCAGCACTTCTCCTGTGGCCTGTTCTGCAGAAGGAGGTTTTGCACAGGAGTCATTCTAAGAAAAGGTTCTTAGGTAAAATATCCATAATCTATAAATCTATAGAGACGGAAAGCGGATTGGTGTTTCCCCGGGCTGGGGGGAGGGGAGAGTGGGGAGCCACTGCTTAAGGGGCACAGGGTTTCCTTTGGGTGATGAAAATGTTTGAGAACTGGTGGAGGGGATGGTTGCACGACATTGTGAATGTAGTCAGTGCCACCGAATTTTTCACTTTAAAACGGTTCATTTTATGGTAGGAGGACAAAAAGTTTACAAGAAAAGATTCTGATGCTTCACGATAAAAGGACGAAAGCCTCTCATTTTACAGATGGGGAGACTGAGGCCCAGAGACGGACTGAGCAGCCTAAGGTCCCCATGCCGTCCGCCCCTGTTCGGTGGCTTCGGCTCTGATCCTGGTGCCTGGGGCTGGGCCGTGGGTGAAAAGTGTGACGCAGAAACACAGACCGTTCACCTTTGCGTGGGTTGAGTGGACTCTGTTTTGTTAGCCAGATAGTCCCGCCCTGGCTGGTATGTGGCCATCCGGTCACTCATTCGTTCAACAAACACGTCCCAACATTCTGGGTCACTGGTTATGCTGGGAGCTGGCACAGAGACCCGTTAAGGGCCCCGCCCTGCGGCCTCTCACCACCTGGCAGGGACAGAAGTTGTGTCACGACCTCCTTGTAGGGGCTTGTGAACAGGCCTCTTTTGGGTGTCCCTCACTGAGGAAGTGGGAGGGCTTCCAGAAGGGAGGGGCGCCTGAGCCGACGTGAGGGACACGTGAGGTTTGCCAGGAAGGCTGTTGGGAGCCCGGAGGCCTGGGGCGAAGGGCAGGTGGAGCACGGGGTGGGGCTGTGGGATGGATGGGGTGCAGGGAGCAGGACTGGGGGCCTGGGCTGTGGGCAGACCCCAAGCACTGTGAAGCCAGGAGCTTCCCGCCACTTGCTCAGCCTTTGAGCCCCTCAGTGGATCCTTTGTATCGGGTACTTACTGTGTGTTACACTCTATCTAACCCTTTGCGTGGATTAACTCCCTTCATCCTCCCAGCATTCTGTGATGAAGGTACCGTTATCCCATTTGACGGACAGGGAATCAGACATAGAGAATCCGGGATGTCTGGTGCCTAATTCCCATTAGCACCAGTGCTGTGAGGAACCCGCAGCCTTCCGGGTCTGGTTTGAAGGGTCGGAGGACAGAGGCTGCCATTTGGAAGTGCCTGTTATGTGGGCTGTGAGTTGGTGGCCACCCAGGGCCTGGGAGAGGGCCTCCTAGGCAGGTGGAGGGAACAGCAGGCACCAAGGGGCGAATGGTGGGAGGGGAGGCTGCTGAGAGCCGCCCAGATCTGGATGAGATCTGGTCTTTACTGCAAGAACAGTGGAGCCGGCTACGTCTGCAGCCTTGCCTCTCAACAGTCTCCCCGACACTGTCTCTGCTTCAGCCACGCAGCCTCCTCACCTTTCCTCAAACATGCCAAGCATACTCCTACCTCAGGGCCTTTGCACTTGCTGTCCCATTTTCCTGAAGTCCTCCCCCTCCAATATTCCCATGACGTGCTTCTAGCCTTCATTTGGGACACAACAAAAGTCACTTCTCCACTAAAACGGACCCCATTATCCCCACCCTATCAAACTCAGTCCCTCGCCCCTTCCGTCTCCATTCCCTGGCCCGGCTTTATCAGGGCCCTACCCCTCCTTGACATCATGTGTTTGTTATCTGCCTCCGGACTGAACGTAAGATTGGGTCTGTGGACCACAGCTGTATCCTCAGTGCCCAGCACCGGGCCTGGGATGTAGTTGGTGCTCAGTTAATATTTACTGAAGGAGTGGAAAGTTTTAAGTGGCCAAGTGGCAAGATCCTTGGAGGTTGTCTATATGGAGTTGCTGATCTGTTAGGCGACTTTGCCCCTTCTGGGCAGTGAAGGCCTGAGTCGTGCCTGACTGACCCTCCTCTGTGCAGAGAAGGTTTCTTAGAGAAAGGCTCAAATTATTCCCAGTAGGAGGAACCGACGCCCAGAAGGGCTGGTGCCTCCCACAGTTCCAGGGGCGCCTTCCTGTGCCCCTTTTCTGCAGAGGCGGCTCCAGATGTCTGTATGGGAGGGGCTTTGGGTTAGAATGGTTGGGTGCCATGTCTTAAAGCTACATTTTCTATCAAGCACATTTATTTTTTTTTAGAGGGCATATCTTTTGGGGGTGGCTTAGGGAAGGGGAGGGGTTAACCGTCCCAAGCCACCTCTGGGCACAGATGTTGCTGTGCAGCCAATGAGCAGGACCCCAGATTCCACCACCCCAGCCCACAAAACCGGGCATCCCGGCTTGAAAGAAGAAACGATTCCCTAGCTGGCGTGGCCTTGGCGGGCCACCAGGGTGGGTGCCCAGATGGTGACACCGCTGGGTACCACATGGCAGACAGACAGGGAGCGGGGAGAGACAGCCCACCCCGGGCATTTGGCGGGTCCAGTAGAGTCCAGCCGGATTCAGTTACACCAGGATCTCAAGTGCGGACTTGGCGTGCCTGACTCAGCCTGCGTGCATTTCCTTTGTTCGTTCCCCCAGGAATTTTACTGGCCTTTTGTGTTTGGTTTAAATGCCAGCCTCCTCAGCTAACCCGAGAGGAAACGAGGCCTGGATTTTTGTCTGTGCAGGGGCACAGGGTGGGGGCTGCCTGCTCTGGATGGTGACAGCACAGCATTTGGGAAATGTGCAAAAGAAACACTTTTACTCCGAGCTAACAACTTTCATTTGTGCATATTTTTATGATAGCCCAGGTTTTCAGACCTTGATCGTGTATATGTTAGGGACATGATGACCAGTTTCCAAACTCTCAAAAGGGCAGTGGTCTATAAAAGCGTTTTAGTGACATTTGGGGACAGGAAAGGCAGTTGGGAAGTTGCTGTTTGGTCTCTGGTGTGTGTGAACTTCCTGGATGCTCAAATGGCTTAGGGGGCGGCATCTTTGAAATCGCATAGTGCCGAAAATTCCGGGACATATGGTCACTGTGATGTGGTAACGTTAGCAATCGAGATATTTAATTATCCAGAAAAACCCCTTTGCCTACCCACCACGGGTTCCTGGAGAGCCTTTATTTCTTAAGAAGAGGGTCTTACACAGGGTAATTCGGACCAGCAGAGAGGGAATCATTCTCCCGCATTAAATTATTAGCTATTTAAGCGGTTTATCTGGTCACGCGTTTATTCCTTCAGTTGCCATTCATCTGGCAATCTTTGCTGGGTCCCACTCCGTGCCTGGCCTGGTGGTGGGCACTGGAGATAGAATGAGCAGAAGAACAAATATTACTGAATCCTGCTGGATGCCAGCCCATCAGGCAGTGCTATGGGCCACCCAGTGAGTTAATTCATTTCCCAGTGGATGTTTTTCTGAGCACGTACTATGTGCAGACCTGAGGAGATGCAGAAATGAAAACGACACATTGCCTCGTGCTTTGAACGCTCGTCCCGTTCTGATGGGGTCTTTGGGTCCCAGCCTCTGCTTGCCGTGATAAACTCAGCCAGCCACCGTCCCCAGAATGAACCAGAAACAATCCAGATACCCCAGGAACCGACGTGAGAACAAGGCATCCCCTTCACACGTCCCATCTCCGTTCTGCGTCTTGCCACCACCCAGCATCTTGAGACAGAATGTGAGATCTCCTGGTTGGCTGAAGACGTAAATATTTTATGTCTCGATATTCTGAAAACGAAGCCCAAATGTGCAGAACTGCAGCAATCAGTGCTATAGATCATATGTTATAATAATCTGATGACATGTTGTTTAAATATTTATGGACTGATGCGACATGACAATGGGGGGAGAGAGCAGTCTCGGAGCAGAGTCGTGGCAGATGCTAGAACGGAGGGAGCAGATTTGCGTGATCCCAGGAAGCGCGG